TGGCTGTAGCATTCAGTGTGAGGGGGAAATGATGCAGAATGAGGCTGGAGAGGTGGCAGGAGCCAGGCTTGACTGGCCTCACTAGATGCTTTAAGTAGTTTGCATTTTACTCTAAGAGCCACGGGGAGCCATTGTAAGGGTTTTGTTTGTTTATTTGTTTTTCCTATTGTAAGGTTTTAAGCAGAAGACTGGCAGGGTCAGATTTGCATTGAAAGGGGATCCCACTGCAATGTGGAGAATGCATGAGACGGAAGAAATGCTGGAGAGAGCAACTTGGAACACTTGCAGGAATACTGGTGGGAGGTAACAGTGAACAGTAGGGCTGTCGTGATGGACATGGTGAGAAAAGACAAGCTCAGAAAACATTTAGGTGGTATAATTGATAGGAATTTGATTAGAAAGGAATCTTGCTTGAGCATCTTGGTAGATGGTGGTGCCTGTCACCAAAATTTGGGATCAAGGGAAAGGAAAGGGGATGAGCTTATTTAGGAATATTGGAGTTAGACCTGGCAGATATTCAAGTGACAGGCTCTGCTAGTTAGAGGAAATTTAAAACTGAAGTCATAAGGAGATTCAGTGAGGGGGGAATGATTTTAATGGTGGAAAAGATAATTATGGTGAACCGTTATTGGATTGGTAGAGTTGGAGATGCTGACCAATCAGTAAAGGTGCCAGAAAAGGAAGGAAGGAAGGGATGGGATCCAGACCACTGGAGGAGTCCTGCTTCAGAGTGGGGCTTAACTGCTGATGCAACAAAGTGAAAAACTAAAAATGGGTTCAGAGGCGAGCAAGTTTACGGCTTTGTCCTTGGATGTCGAAAGTGTTCATCTCTTCCTTAATGGCATCATTTTCTGTCTGAAAGATTACAAAGTTATCTGTTGAGAGCCCAAAACTAATTATAGTTGAATGCAAGAGACAGCATTCGGCCTTGAAAAGCCTTCCATTCCTGTTCAAATCTAAGAAAAAGCCAAAGGAGCACTGGGTAAAGCACAAAAAGACAGTGTTTTAAAGAATCAGTCAACATGAGAATCAAAACCTAGACTAGTGTGAGATCAGGAGGGTGCAGAGACATGAACAAATTCAGGAGAAGCCTCAGTATGCACTTGGTGACTGGAAAAGGGGGCAGTGGAGGCAGCGTTGTTGAATTGATTCCCCTGGGTCTGAATTGAGCAAACGCATCAATGGAAGTACCCTTCACTAGGTTTTGAGGAGGGGATTAGGAGTTCAGATTTGGGCACATCAAGCTTGAGGAACCTGTGTGACATGAGCAAAATGTTCCAATTATATAGCTGGGTCTAGAACTCAGGAGAGACGTCTGGGTGGAAAGTAGGTCAGGGAGTTTGTGTAAGTCATGGGATTAAACCAGAACATGCCTTTAAAATGCACAAATTAAGGAAATTACACTAGCAAAGGAGAAAGACAGTAACAGGTGGAAATCCAAGAGGGTAGGGAAACACAGAAATCAAGAGAACAGCCTGCCTCCAGGGCAAGTCATCGATCACGTTATATGTGATGGAGTGTTCAACAAGACTGTAACTGCCACTTGTCCATGGGACAGGCTTGCGTGGATATATGAAATCACAGTTAGGAACAGAAAAACAAATTCAACAGCAGTGACTGCGCTTGGAGCACTGCAAAGAGAGACTGAGGTATGTGCAGTGAGGATATAGCATCGGAGCCAGCAGTTAACCAGTCTCTCCACTGTTGCTGTGAGATGTGTGTGGACAATGGGATCAGAATGCTGACACTGAAGAAAAATAGATCCCAACCATGCCAGCTAAATTTTCTTGACTATGACCTCTTTCAGGGGTGTGCAAATCACTGTGTAGCTAATGATCATGCCTCAGGTTGTATATCTTGCATGAGACCCCATTCAAGGCCCTGCAAGGGCCCTAGCAATGTGATATTTATCATTTTGTATTTTTTTCATTAAAGAAGGTATAAAAAATTGTTAAGCTTCAGGCTATACAAAACCTGATTCAGCCCCTGATTTTTACCATAACTTGTGTGAAAAGAAATTGATGGATATATTCGTTTACATTTATAGAAACTCTTAAGCATACCTTTTTATATATAATACAGTATAAGTTTAGTTCTATTCAACAGATTATTTTTAAGTATTTTTAAAATATCAAATTACAAAAGCAACATGTGTTTTCGATATCAAAAAACTACCAGATAAATACAACTGTCTTATAATGTCACTCTCATGGGATCAAGATTGTGTAAGTAAGGCCATAACAGCCATTCAATTTTTCATAAGAGGAATATGCCTATTTTCTGCAATTACTCTTATTTAGCCTAACACAAGCGATATGTCTGGATTGTGACTACTGTAGTTTAAAACACAGATATCCAAAACTAAAGCTGCCCAGGTTGACAGCAAAGCTTTGGAGGGTGAAATGCTTTACTTAAGAACATACTTGGGAATTAATGCTTAGAGTTACAAGCACAGAGCTTAGGATTCATGATGAAAATAAATACTTAATGTCAAGTTTTGTTTGGTAGAAACAATTAATACACAGTCCAAGCAGCAATGCAGAATGTGAAGAATGTTCATTTAATGGTTTATTTCAGGAGACCACTCTAAAGATTGGTAAACTAACCACCTACTGTTTGACCTTTGCAGGAAGGATGTTGGATAAAATAGCTTTCTTTGGCCTTCTTGTTTTCCTTATGAGGCTTTATTTTGGCATACTTTTCTGTGCTATATGAGCAGATACAATAAATAAAACAGCAAGAGTAAATAAAACACACTCCTCCCAGTGCCTGATCTGGATACTCTGATGTCAGAATGCAGCCCTTTTAAATTCCACACACAGCACAGCAACCGCTGGGCACAGTGGAGTAGGCCTTCAGATACGGTAATGTGTAGGTGTGGTCAAGGAAAATATCTTAGTTATTCAGGCTGTTGTAACAAAATATCATAGACTGGGAGGGACATAAACAGCAAACAGTTACTTCCCCTAGTCTGGAAGCAGGAAGTCTGAGATCATGGCACCAGCGTGGTTGGGTTCTGGTTAGTGTCCTCTCCCTAGCTTGTCGATAGCTACCTCCCCACTGTGTATTCACATGGTAAAGAGAAAGATCTGTGATCTCTCTTCCTCTTCTTATAAGGGCACTACCTCTATCACGGAGGCCCCATCCTCATGACCTTACCTAACCCTACCTACCTCCCAAAGGCCCTGCCTCCTGATACCATCAGGAGGTTAGGGGGTTAGGTTGGAGGTTAGGTCTTCAGCATATGGATTGGGGTGGGGGAAACCAAAAGCAAAACCAAAAGCAAGAAAGAAAGTACTCCTGGACTTGGGACTCCGTTCACCCATGGCATCGCTCCATTTTGATTTAAAAATAATTATCTTGGTTTGATTTCCATTTTTTTCTTTGTAATTTTCTTTTTTCATTTTCTCCCCTTTCCTTCCCTCCCTACTTCCTTCCTTCTTCTTTTTTCCCCTCCCCTTTTTCCCTTTTCCCTCTTTCTTTCTCTCTTTCTTTCTTTCTTTCTTTCTTTCTTTCTTTCTTTCTTTCTTCTTTCTTTCTTTCTTTCTTTCTTTCTTTCTTTCTTTCTTTCTTTCTTTCTTTCTTTTTCTTTCTTTCTCTTTCCTTCTTTCTCTTTCTGAAACCACTTTGTAACTTTAAGCTACTACTGGCATCAACAATTTGCAATGAATGGACTAAAATCTATTTTGTTTTCATTTTTCCTGATGGCAAACCCATTTAATGACAAATGGGCTTTAGACAGACCTTCGTCCAACTTTACCTGAATTTGTAATTTTCTATTTTTAATTTAGAAAAGCCCTATATGTAAGATGTTGAATATGAATTAAATAATTATTTCCTAATAAAAGATGGGAGTTTAAGGAATAAAAGAATTAAGCATGTTAAATTTAAAAAGAGGGCATGTGATGTTTTAAATAAGCATTGTTTCAGATGTTTCATAGAACCAACCTGAGGGTACATGAGACATAGGTGATAATAGTTACTGTAACACTAGTAAATTCAACTCTCCAAAGTGAAGGTTTTAGTTGCATTCTTTAAAAAATTGACCATCAAATATTGTAAAGTTTTCTTCTAGAAGCACACATGCACATTTGTTTATGTAAGTTCAACACTGGCTAAAAAGTAAGCCATTAATTAAACACTTGACCACTTATAAAACTGAAAACATAGGCATTTAAAACCATTTAGTGTAGATTAGCACAGAAAGTATGGTATGATGTCTCACCCTTTAGATTTCTGTGCTTGGCAGGTTTCTTCACTTATTCTCAGTTGTTGATATTAATGGGAGAGCTCTTTATTGTAATATGTAATGTTATGAAATTTCAGGGCCGTCCATCCTAACTTATGTTGCCATAGTTTGAAATATTGGAGTCAGAATTGATACTTAAGGTACTCTTGGGTGTGGATGGAGAGGGGTGGATAGTTTCTTTTTCTCACTTGAAGGCCCTCTTTCTCCTCCAGGTTAGGGTAGCTTTGGACATGCAGGAGTTTGAAGGGGCATTTTGTCTATTCCGACATCTGACTACATCCTTTGGGAACTCCTCTTATTGAATTGGCATCATGGAGTTCCCTTAGACGGCTTTGCCCGAATAGCTTATCTTTATGTATATACCCATCTCTGTTGCCCAACTCTTTTAATCACTTCTATGCCATGCTAAAAAGAAAACAACCGGCGTGAAATACAGTCGTTAACACTGACAACATTGGGTTCTTTAAAGAAGTAAAGCTCCTAACTATCAGTTTATGAGGCAGTCTTATTTTGTAGGTGTGACTTTATCCCAGTATAAAAGCATAATTATTAAGCAGATTAATAAATAATTCTGAAATAATGAATGACTAAATCGAATCAACTAAGCAATAAAAACAGCTATATCTCTGACCACTCACCCACCCCTCTTAAGAACTGCTCCTTCCACAGTCCTCCCATTCCAATTAACGACAACTTCTTTTCAGGTACTTCAGTTGAACACCATGGAGTCATCTTTATGTCTCTGTTTGCCTCACACCTCATCAGCAGATCCTGTCAACTTGACCTTCACCGTATCCAGGACCTGATCACTCATCACCTCATTCATACTACGGCGGTCCCAGCCACCATGATCACTAGCTAGACATTCTGATAGTCTCCTGGCTCTAGAATGCACACTCGATAGATGAGCCAGATGATGGTTATTACCTCCGTTACCCAGACAAAGTCGCCTCTGCTCAATCCTCGGGGACTTCCTGTACCAACCCAAGTTAAAGCCAGAGCCTCCAACGGTCGGCCTCTGCAGTCCTGCTTCCAGCGCCTCCACGTTTCTGACCACATCCCCTTCTCCTCTGGCTCTTGCTCTCTTGTCTCCAGCTCTACAGGCCCCCTTGCTGTTCTTCCAACACTCCAGGCATGCTCCCAGCTCAAGGCCTTTGTACTTGTCACCTTTTCACCTAGAATGTTCTTTTCTCATCTGTCATTAGGGCTTGCTACCTCACTTCTTGCTGGTTGACTGTTATACAAATATCACTTTAGTGAGCCCATCCCTGACACCCTGTTTAAAATATTCAACCCTCATATCGCATACTACATACATATAGAACAAATATTATGTATTTACTTTGTTGCCTCTCCTTCCACCACCACTGCAGCATGTAAATCCTATGAAGGCAAGGATTTTATGTAGGGTTGTGCTGTCAGTGCAGAGAGCAATGCCTGGCACCCTCAAATATTGGCAGAATGAATGATTTATAACAAATATATCTAAATTCTGTTCTCAAAAACCTTTGTAATCTTATTTTCTATTCCCCACAGTATGGCTCCCTTTAAAGGGCTTCATCTCTCCTGCACCTGGAATGCCCTGCCACCCATCTTTGCCTGTCCCACTCAGTCCAGCTGCTCCTTCTCCATCAAGCTTCCTAGATGACACCTGCTGGAAGTTCTTTCCCTCGTCCCAAGACTTATTGATACCATGTTGTACCTTGTTTCTGGCCTATTTACGTGTCTTAACTTACACATATATTAAAATCCTCCAAAGCAAGGACATATCTTTCCCAGGCCCTGGTGCATATTGTTATTACTATTTGCTCAATAAATATTTTTTGACTGACTAAACAAATACATAAATAAAGGAAAAATAAAAGAATGAAAAAATGCTGTGCTCTTTAGCAAATAGGAAGAACGTAGAAAATCTGGAAAGGATTTACATATGGGTGTATTAGAAATATCCCGAATACACATTGATGGATTAGGCTGCTGATACTTTTTAATCATACACATCTTGGGTTCTTTTTCATCTGATTGAACTTCTTTTGGAAAAGATTATTTATTGAAAACTTATAATATCAAAGCTAAGAGTCACATCTTAAAGATGAAACTTCCTCTTTTCCCCCAGCCCTGACAATGATTATTTTTGCCTATTGGAAGTTAACATTTTTATTACTTTTTATTATCTTATTTAAGTAGATTAAACTTGAAGGAATTTTCTAAACAAAGCTAAAACCATTGTCACGTAGTTCTGGAAGAAAATATGTTTTTACATACTAATTCAGATGCTTGTTACACATTTTAGCTTTGACATACTTTGATAAAAGAAACTTAACTAACCCATAACCAGACTATTTCAAAAAATGGAATAATATCAAAGCTATTAGAACAGCAAAGTTTTTGTTATTAAGTAAATATTTCCATGCAAATTCCATCTGGGCAAACTCTCATATATTTTTTTAAAAGTTATGTATATTTGAGTTTGTGTAAATTTATTATGTGTTTATTATGTGTGTGTGCATCTGGGTGTGTTTACACATAAAATATTTGTTTAAATGATAGAGCAATATAGAATCAGTCCATGTCAGAAAAAAAGCAGCTTGATGTATTAGAATGAGTTCTCATCTAGAAATCAAGACATTAGTTCTTATATAATAACATTTATGTAACTGGAACTATTTATAGAATGTCTGTTTTGTACTAAGTGCTTTGTATATATACCTCATTAATCCTCCCAACACAGGTGTAAAACAAATACTACTATCCCATTTTTTGTTTGTTTGTTAATCTTCACCTGAGGATATTTTTTCCATTGATTTTTTTTTTTTTTTTTTAGAGAGTGAAAGGGAGGGAAGGAGGAGAGAGAGAGAGAGACAGAGACAGAGAGAAACATAGATGTGAGAGAAACAACATCATTTGGTTACCTCTGCAAGAGCCCCCACCTGGGCCCAGGGATCGAACCTGCAACCCAGGTACAGGCCCTTGACCAGAAAAGGAATTCACCACCCTTTGGCGCATAGGCTGACACTTGAACCATTAAGCCACACCAGCCAGGCACTACTACCCCATTTCAAAGATTAGGAAACCGAAGCACGAAGAAAATAAATGGTGATAATAATAATAAACATCAACACCAAGGCCACTCAGCTGGGTAAAAATGCCCATGTTCTGAAACTTGACCAAAAAGACCTCGCTGTCATTCGCCATCTCTGGTGTCTGAAGAAAGCCCTGTGACAACTACACTAGGAACGGTGCCCTCTGGGGGTATGTAACACAGCTGCTGTGCTTCTGTGGTTCCTCAGCACCTTCACCTGAAAACTGGGGACGGCAATAATCATTCCGTTATCTCACAGTTGGTTTGTGGTAAAATTTTCACACAGTTCAATAAATGAAACCAGTGCAAAAGGCAGCAATATGGTTCTATTTTAAAGGCATAAGTAGAGTATTAAAGACATATGCCAGTATTTCAATTTGAATTATTAACTGTTATTTAACATAATTATTCATTAGTGACACAGATACTATTATCCTCAGCTCAGACAACACTTTGATGAATACTAGTTCCTCTCTATTTGTTATATTACTTATGTACACTATTTTTTTTTTTCCATCTTAGATTGTTTGCTTATTTGAGGGAAGGAACTGCCTATTTTTTGCCATTCCAAGTCTTCCTGGGATTCTCAGTTCTAACATGCGTCTATGCCATTTATTTCCAGGCCTGGTATAGATTGATCTCAGACTTCTCCGTGATTTATCTTTTCAGAATTTACTTAATTCCTTTAATTTTCATGTTGACCAACAGTAAAGAAATGTCATCAGAAGGCCCAATTTCTGATCCATACTGTAGCCTTGGTACTTCAGATTCTTTCAAGTTTCTTGGCTAAGTGCATACAGGGTAATAAATAAATATTTAAGTCATATACTGTTACTGTTCCTGCTTTTACAAAACATTATTAAAAATTGTTATTTAAAATACAGGATTTAATTCTGCATTTCAACCGACAAAGGCAATGAGTAAGATTTCACTTTCGTAAATCAGTCATTTTTAACTATTTTGAATGCATTCACAATATATGGAATTTTTTTTAACTTTTGGAAGCAGCATTACATACCACTGCTTTGAAGAATTCCTGTTGAAAAATGAATACTTTAGATCTACGTAGGATGGTATCTGTTATGTAGCCACCTGGTGTGGAGGGAAGGGTTCAACTTCTGAAATTTGTTTCCAGCTTTCCTCTCCGTCTCACCCGCCAGGAAGGGTAGGAGGCTCCGGAGTGCTGTGCGGGCTCAGCTCTCGATGGTGGGAAGCCAGGTGCTGTCCCAGCTGTGACACAGCTGCATGTGCTCTCAGCCTCTGCTAATGAAGGAGCTTAAGCCATCTTGAAGTAATCATAATTTTACCTTCTTGGAAGAACTTCTGCAGCTGAATTTACACTTGACCTTGGACCAAGTCCTTCTTAGAGGCTCTCATGCATGGACAGAGATGGGGTATGCAAAACACAATCGCGGTGGTGATGCTAATCCTCCTCTGATACACGCGATGCGAAAGGATGTGCCTTGTCAAGGTCTATAGAGAACCAAGACTGGAAAGCAGGAACCGGCCTGACATTTTATTCTCTATTTCTTCATAGTTAGTTTTGAATTGCCTATTGACCCTTAGATATTTCAATTCATGAATTGTATAGCCATTTACTGTTTTTTTAATTTTATTTGGAGAAACCATGACATCTTTGTTTTGGGTAGCATCCGCCCCAGAGTACCACTCAGCACCTTCCCATAGTGCATCTGACACTAGAGTGACAATTCTGGGTCTTGTGCAGGATAAAAGTGATCTGAGACCTGTTTCCTACTTCCCAGCCTCTTAGGTCTATGTTAGCTTAATTGGAGAGTAGTTAATAAGTTATGAGAAGGAATTTACCCATGTATAGTTTTAATGGCCTTTTTATCATATCCCCACAAACTATAAAGCAATAAAACATAATAATGTCATTCTACTCTTTAAAAATAATTTTAGAAATGATAGAATTCACTGGCCAACTATGTCTGAGAACTTTTGGTAAAGAACAAAATGTAATATCCTTATCTTGACTTTTCAACTCATTTTTTCAAAGCTTACCTCTTTCATGAAAGTATATTGAAATGTAACTTGCCTAAGGAATTCCATTGTCGTTAGAACACTGACTGCAGGGGATGTCCCTATAAATCACCTGCAGTGAAGATGGATTTTGCATTCTGAATCAAGGAATGCTATGTACAGAAGTAACTCTATTGGAACACTAATTCCTGTGGCCAATATAAATTTATGTCCTTTCTGGAAAGGACCAAAAAGTAGATATTAACAAGGCCAAACAAATATAGTCAACCCAGTTAGTTAGCTAAGGCCAGAATTTAAAATCTGTTTTATGTGCTTGATGCATGAACATTGGCAAAAATATGTACTGCATCATATAAAAAATCCAGGAAAATAGATTTCTCAATTCAGATGACAGTACCAAGTAGAATTCTATAATTAACAACACATGAAGTCAGATATAGAAAGGATCAAACCAGGCATAAGAATTCTAAAGAAGTATTTTAGCTTTAGTTTTGAAAAAAGACACCAAACTGAATTGTACGTATTTTAAAAAGTATATGCTTTCAGCAAACAAGGACACATATACATGTATATACATGTGCACATACACACAAATGTACACGCAACTGCACACATACACAGGTACACACACATAAACACACACATACACAAGGCATAGCTTTACATACCAAAATAGGTTAGTCTTAAGTTAACTTTTGNCACATATACACAAGGCATAGCTTTACATACCAAAATAGGTTAGTCTTAAGTTAACTTTTGGTAAATAATAAATTGCAAATTATATTTTTTTCTCCTGAATTGCTGGTATTTTTTGTCTTGTAGGACCAACACATACTAAGGACTTTCAATCAATGTTTGTTAACTTGGATGAGTTCAGGGCTAAGTACAAACTCCTTGATTTATGGAAAGCCATATAAATTGGCAGTAGTGGACTGGACTCAGTCAAAAATTTTCAGTGTCAAACATTTTTCCCTGTCTCCCATAGTATGTTTAACACACAACACACAGGTACAGTGCACAGAACGTCCTAAAGTTGTAAAAGTGTGCCAACTGGTGGCTCCTAAAGTTACATCTTTAAAAAACA